GGGCCCCCCCCCCCCCCCCCCCCCGTGGCTGCACGGGAATGCCACTGCCGTACAGGCCATGGTGTCTGCCAACTTTGCCATCACCAACCCCACACTGGCGGCCAGGTTGACAACCTGGGGGGCGGCCTACGGAAGCCACTATGGTATGCCACGCACATCACCCACCTGCAGCGTGCTGTAGTCACAGCAGGATAATCAATTTGCACATGTGCCCGCACCTCGCTTTCTTTGCCCTGCAGTGCTTTCTTCTTACAGCGGCGGCTCCTTCTCCCAGGCGTGCCTGATGTCTGCATACGCGTATGCGGTGAGTAAGACATTTGGCATAGAGATGTGGCCAGCTGCAGACGTCGCAGCAGGTGCATGAGGTGTTCAGTGCACAGTGCCTCAGTCGTTTCTTCTGCTTCTTTACCCGCGAACTGCAGACCGCCAATGCCAAAGACTTCAGCTACGGCGCCAACGTCGGCGCGGCATCCGGTGCGTTTCGTGGGGGATGGGAGGGCACACCCCATCTTGTTGCCAGCTTAGCCCATCGCCAAGGTGCCGTCCTGGCCTGGAGCAGCCCTGATCCACAGCTGCTGACCCTGGCCCCGACCCCCCTCTCCACCTGACACGCATGGCTCCAGCCAGCGTCAGCGCAAGCGGCTCCTCCAGCTCCTCCGTCTCCAACGACTTCAAAAGCATCGGAGCCGAGTGCGGCTACGTGCAGTCGCCCGGCAGCGTGGCTGTGCCCACCTCCAACGGGCAGCCGCTGGTGTCCACCTGGCTGAACAACTGCCTGGCGGCCGGCATCCTGCAGCCGGCAGGTGCGCGCCTGTGCCTGGACCGCGCCTGCCACCCCCACCGCCACGCCCGCGTGAAGCCCTTTTGCTGCTTGCCGTTCATGACCTGGCCGGCGTCTTCTCCAGTCGCCAGCACAGGGATCTAGGACCAGCTGGTCCTAGCTGCAGCCGCCGCTGGGTTCACATATGCAGAGTGCTTCCTCGCCAGGGGCTTGCATCCAATCCACCCCCTTCACCCCGCCCTCCACACACCACTTCGCCTGCGCAGGCTACAAAGTGCAGGAGATTGCATTCCTGTTCTCGTTCGACAACCTGTGGCCCGACACTGACCCAGCGCTGCTGCCCCAGGTGCAATCGCTGGTGCGCAGCTACTGGAAGGCGTGTGCACCAGGAAACTCCAACACATGGCTGTGCGCGCCGTACAGCCCCACTTGCGCCAAGCAGACGTACGCCTCTGGTGCGCACTAGTGCTTGGGGTCCGTCTTGCAACCGGACCCATCTGGCTGGTGGTCTTTGGCTGCTGGCCTGCGGCACGGGTGACACGGTCATGCGGGTGGGGGGAGGTGTGTGGGGGGGGGGCGGCGGTGCGCTCGCATGCCCTGCCGCTGGTCGTGCAGGCTACCTCAGGCACCCGTTCTCCCCCCCTGATTGATGCCTGCAGGCAACCAGTGCCTGTCCTGCTACTCCTCGGGCCCACGCTGTGCGAGGCTGAGCAGCGACGCGAACTTCAACTCATGCAACTCGAACAAGTGCAACTGCAACTCCCCCTGGAGCGGCTCCACCTGCGGCACCGCCAACCTGGGGGTGTGCTGGTCGGAAGGGTGCGGCGCCAACTGCTGCAAGACCTACTGCAACCAGTGCGCCCCCGGCTTCAGCGCGGTGGCTGCCCAGCCATCTGGCACCAAGTGCGCGTGCACGTGCAAGCCCAACAACGGCATCCAGAACGGCTGGACCTCGTACGGCGTGGCCCAGAGCTACTTCAAGTGGAGCGGCAACTGCAAGAGCGATGCCTGCGTGTCCAACGACCTCGTCAGCATCTACGGCACCAAGTGCGGGCCTTGATGGCCCTCACACCGCCTCTATGATCGGCACCCCACCCACCCCGTGGCTACCCGGTGCCTACACACGTCCTCCCCCGTACCCTCTTCTCAAGCCCAGAGTTTCCCCTGACATCCCCACACACACAGCGCCAAGCCTTTGCAAATCAATTGATTCTTGGCAGTGCACCTGCAATGTTCGCCTCCTGTGGGCATTGACCCTGACTGCCGTGTGTGCCATGCACTCCAGCTAGCCAGGTGCTAGCACCACCACTGCAGGCAGGTGCTCCTAACCAGGAGCAGCTGTGGCCCCCTGGCGTGTCCACTTGGCAGGCACATACCCACAAAGGGGAGCCGTTTCCGGAACTTTTGCCCTTCTCTGTCCACTCTGCCCATGCGTACACGGCCACCCCTTTTCCCGAGTCGATTCTGCATACAGATTCTCTGCCATATCTCCAACTCTGCCTGCTTCCGTATACAGATGTGCATGCAGCAGCGCTTCTGATTTACTCATTCTGGTGAGGCGACAGCGATTACAATTGTAAGAATCGTGGATACAAGCAAGCGCTAAATACGCCAACGACTACACCATCAGGGTAGGCTGCTGTGCAGAATCGCGGTCTGCCAGCACAGCCCTGAAGGCACCATGCTGCCGGGCTGTGGCACAGTCTAGCAAGTCATGGCACAGTTTGCAGTACCACGGTTTGCTGGTGCTGGCATGCTCACCCCAATGGAGGCTTCTCACCCCAATGTCTGACAATGCAAATATCTGCAGCAAAACGAAGAAGGAAAGCACCAAACCCAGTCCATCAGCCGCAGCAAGGCATCAGCCAGCCGCGGCTGCACTGCGGGACTCTCAGCCAGCCAAACCCATGGGGTGCCAGTGCAGCACATCCTGGCCAGCACTTCACCAACCAAAAGCATTAAAGCACATGCCGCCAACGAGATCGTAGCCCAGACCCCGCCTGCACCCCAGCACACGGGCACCCCAGAAACATAGAAGCCAGCGGCACCCGATGTGTGGGCGGCCAAAAGCACAGACTCGCGCCGCTCGATGCATGCGATGGCGGATGTCTGGAAGGGATCCAGTGCAAAATAGTACTGCTTGCAGCGCGGGCCGTCCCAACGGGGAGCCGCGGTCGTGCCTGCAGAGGGTGCGGTCTGGCAGGGCAGCGCAAGGGGGAGCTCTGCTGAGCAGGCAAGGCAGACAGGCGGAGGCAGGGCCAGGCAGGTGGAAAGGAGCAGTAGTAGCAGCGCTGCCTGAGCAGCAGGGGCAGCACAGGCAGCTCACCATGAAGGGCGGGGTCCAGGCCCAGCTCCCTTCTCAGAAGGGTGCCGCAGTTGGGCGGTGCCAACTTGGTTGGGGGGGAGGGGGGGGATTTGAAATCCTGCCGCCAGTCACTGCTGTGGGGCGGTCACGACGATTGCCTCTCCACACATGCCTCAAGGCTGCGCTTCTTGGATTTGACTCAATCATTTGAGTGCCTCCCTGGCGGCAGCAGCGGACGCCACTGGCAGGCCCTCGGGCGGGCGTCGCCTCCATTAAGACTCAACGGCAGCGCCCTGCATGACGTGCGGTGGCGGGACTGGGCAGCTGAGGCAATTTCGGCAGTGCCACTTTTAGCGCCGCTGGCTGCATAGATCGTTCCCAGCGCCACTACAGATGTACATGGTACAGAGAGGAGACAGGGGGCTGCAGGCAGCCAGTTCTGCTGCCCCAATTGGCCCCATGCAATACGCTATCACACCTCACCAGCCTTCCTGGGGCTCTAAAAGATGGTAGTCAGCACCAGTGAGTCCTCCACTCGCCAAACGGGCTCCCCCAAATGTCATAGACGCATTGCAGTGTAAAGCGTCTTGCGGGTCCCGCTATACACTAATTATGTTGGTGATCATTGGGAGACTCGTCGTGATGCCATATGACCATATTGGCAGCATTTCCGATTGCCACCAGGGCGCCCACCTGCCACTTGGCAGTCACAGAGCTGCCACACGCAATCGATTGAAGGAGCCTCCAATCGATTGCGGGATGCCAATGTTGAGCCAGTTTGATCCCCTGCCCTCTGGACCCGTGTTAACATCTCCTGGCTACCGCTGACCAGTTCGTTTTCTCCCTGGTCGGCTGTTGCGGCCTTTTCCTGCTGCACAGGCACCAGAACACATGGGAGAGGGCGACCCCTCGCAGTGTCGCCTCTTGGCCGGCCCCGCCGCGATCGCCGCCCAACTCCTGCTGGCTGCCTTTGCCCTGGCCTCGCTGCTGTACAAGAGGTGAAGCATCACCTAGCAGATGCTTGTGCAGGGGGACCCGCGGCCACCATTGTGTGCGGTTGCTGCTGCTACCGCCACCTCCCTAGCGCGGCTGCCTACCTCCTCTAGCACTCCTCTTGCAGGCACATTGAGCGCCCGCAGCGCCCGCTCAACATCTGGGGTCTCGATGTGTCCAAGCAGGCTATATCCATGCTGGCAGCCCACGCTTGCGGTGCGCACACGCTTGTCTGTCACTTGCCCTGGTCGCGTTTCGCCAGAGGTTTCTTTGCTGTGGGACTGCATCTCACCCACTCTACGCAAACATACACGCACCGGCGCAGGCATGCTGATAGCCCTCATAGCGCACAACAGCGTGGATGCGGGAGCCTCCTCTGAGTGTGGCTGGTATGCCGTTGCCTTTGTGTTTGGTGAGCGGCTGATTGCGCCACTCGTCCTGGCTGCGGGCGTTGTTTGTTGGGTGCTGGGCAGGGGCCAAGCCTGCCTGCCTGTCTGCGTGCCTGCCTGCATGATTCGCCTGTGCCGTGTATGCGAGGCAGAGGCCAAGGCGGTATAGCCAGCTGCTGTGCTGGCCATTCCAGCCCGCCAGCTGCCCACCCAGCCTCGCTCCAGACCTGGCTGCCTGCCGCAGACACTACCGTCGGCCTGCTGCTGACCATATGTCTACACAAGGCGGCGCTGCGAGCGGCGCATTGGTACGGCGAGCGGCACAGCCAGCGGTACGGCCAGCCGCTGCAGCTAGAGACAGCAGACGGCGGCGGCGGCACGACCGTCGCAGCAGCCGCCGGGGAGCCGTGGTTTGCGGCGCTGCAGCTGTGCGGCAACTATGGTGCGCCTGCTTGCAATCTGCTGCAGCTGGCGGCCACAGTGAGGGCAGGGACAGCGGCAGAGTGCGTGTGTTGGGATGACTGCTGTTCAGAGTGTTTTGCCTCCATGCCAAGCTGTTGTTGCCGCATGCTACCACCTGCGTTGAGCTTGGAGCAATGTGTGGCCTGTGCTGCCTGTACCGCAGGCGACCCACCCTCGTACCGCCGCTGGAGCATCCAGCTGGGGGAGTGGGTGGGGTGCGTGGTGCTGGCCCGCGTGCTGTGCGGTACACTTGTTCTGCTGCTGGGGCAGCTGCTGGTCCATGTGGCGCAGGTGAGAGCGCTGGCGGGGCTGTGTTGGTGGGTGTGCTGCCGAGAATTGCTGGCAGCTGAGCAGTACCTGTGCGCGGCCCTTCGCCTCACAGTTGTGGTGTGGGGCCCTATCGCTGCTGGCCCCGTCTTCCTGCGCTTGCCCTGCCCTGCCTCAGCGATGCTGCTGGTGCCGGGGCTACGGCCGCCTGTTTCGTGGGCACCCCACTGCTGCTGTTCCTCGAGAGCCCGCCTTCTCCGGCCATTCATACTAATTGTCCATTCCTCCCAATGAGCTGTGCAGGGGCTGGACGGCCTGTTCACCGGGCACCCAACAGCAGAGCTGTACGTGGTGATGATCTGCTGCCCCCTGCTGCTTAACATCTGTCAGGTGGGCGCCAGCCTGGCGGTGCGGCAGACGCCAAGCAATGACATGCTCTGTGTCCTGCTGCGCTGCGCTGCCGTGGTGGCTGGGAAAGCACGAAAGGGCGCTGCGAGGCTGTCACCTTCGCCTCGCGAGCCTCGTGTGGTGGTCTGCTGGAATGGATGGAAGCGGCTCGCCCCCACACCTCGTTGCCAACATACCCCTGCTTTGTGGTGGGTTTGTGGTGGGCAGGCGCTGATTCAGGACTTGGTGCTGAAGTGGCGTGCACGCGGCGGCGCCAAGGAGACCAGCATGGCGGCAACAGGGGCAGCGGAGCGGGAGGCCTCGCTGCTGGGCGCCGCCACTGAACGCAGCGCACCGGTGTGAGCGGGAGCCCTAAGCAGTACTGCAGCAGCCCGACAACGCCAGCATGTGCGACTGAGTGTGTGATATGTTTTAATGACCAGCAGCATGTACACTCGCGATGCTTCTGTACTTTTGATGCACTGCTATGTTCTCTGGTTAGTACTGATGTTCCGGCGCGCGGGGCAGCACATGCTAGGTAGCGCATGTGCGCATGCAACTGCACGGCCCACCATGTGAAGTGGGCCAGCACCAGGAGCCAAGGCCAGCTGCCCGGGGCTCCCTCCCGCCCAGCGCGGCACAGCGCTCGCCGCCAGCGCCGGCCAGCCTGTCTCGCATGGCGGCCATTAGCCTGCAGGGGCACATGGAGCTCGACCTGAGCGCCGCTACTTGAGAGCAACCACAGCGGGCTGTGCCTTCAGGACCCTTGCACCCCCTACAACCTCCCACTTGCGCTCTGCGCTCCCCAGCCAACTCCAGGACACTACCGATCGGACCAGTGGGGGTTGCCAGTTGCAATGCGCGCTGCTGCTCTGCCAGCCAGCCTCACAGTGGCAGCTCGGCCACTGGCCGGCTGCAGGCGCGCCTCGCGGCCTCCTGTGGCCCGTGTGGCGCGGCATGCCGGTCTGCCGGTGAGGGCCTCGCTCGCTGGCAGTGACTCGGAGACCTCCACCACCTCCGGCACCAAGCCCTCAATCAAGCAGACGATGGCAGACCTGGACGCGCTGCTGGGGATCGAGGAGGAGGAGAAGCAGGCCGCGCAGGTGGGGCGCTGTGGTTGGGTGGCCGCGCCGCCGCCGCTGCCGCCGCCGCTGCAATTGGAGGTCCGCACCGGAACCTCCAACCCGCCTTCTTGCCCACCAGCGTCAGCCGTGCGGTGCCTGTCGCTCTGTTTGTGCCCCTGTGGAGCGATCGCATACGTGTTGGGCAGGAGGGCAGACGGGGAGGAGCAGCTTGCCGCCGCATGACACCGCCGCCGCCGCCTTGCGGTGCTTGTTCCGGATGCTTGCTCCCGCGCAGCAGGAAGCGGCAGCGAAGGCGGAGGCGGACAGCGGTGTGAAGGTGCAGATCGACGCCAGCGTGCTGCGCCAGCTGGCGGAGGCGGAGGCGGCGCGCGCCGAGAAGCTGGGCAGCGCCGCCAGTAGCGGCGAGATGCAGACGCGCATCGCAGACTCGATTGAGAGGATTGTGGAGCAGGTGGGCGGGGGTGGTGCTGGTTGGCGGTGCGGGAGGCGGCTGTGTGGGTGGCAGCGGGGTTGGGCGCGGGGAGGGAGGGTCATGAGGCGGGACAGGGGGGACAGGGGAGCACGGCGAGGAGGCAGGCGGGGGCGTGCCTGTGGTGTACCGTGGGGATGGCGGGGAGCAGGGGGCTGCCGCCGCCGCGGCTGGTGCTGCGTGCGGCACGGGGCGAGCGGGTACGGAGGGCAGGGTTGAGGGCGGTTGTCAGTGGCTCCGGAAGGAGGCAAGCCAGTGCCCTGCTCTGGTTCCCCAGTGGCCGCCTTGCCTGCTGCTGCTGCTGCGCGCCTCGCCTGTGCGCAGGCTAAGAAGCTGGCTGAGGAGCAGGAGGGCAAGGGAGCGGACAAGACGCTGGGGGAGCAGGTGCGCGCGTGCCCCTGCCAGCCTGCCTGCCTGCCAGCCGCCTGCCTGCCTGCCCGCCCGCCCGCCTGCCCGCCTGCCTGCCCGCCCGCCCGCCCACCTGCCTGCCTGCCTGCCTGCCTGCCTGCCTGCCTGCCTGCCTGCCTGCCTGCCTGTTGCACGCATGCACGCGTGGTGTGCCAGCAGCAGGCGCATGTGCGGCATGCGTGTGTGCCTCGGCCGGCGTGCATCAGGGGATGCTTGCCTCAGCACGCGCCGCGCGCACCTCTGACCTGCCACCAATCGGCTTGTTCGTAATGTGGATGGTGTGGATGGGGATGCGGCGCCGCCATCCCCGTGCCCGCCGTGCCCGCCCGCCGGCCCCGCCGGCCCCTGCCGCCGCCCTCACCTTCGCTGCCGCCCTCACCGTCCCCGTCGCCCGCTCCCCCCTCGTCCCCAACAGGCGGTACGGCAGGAGCTGGCCAACCTGTACACGGTGATGGCGTGGTCTAAAGGGGTGGACCCCGAGGATCTTAAGTGAGCTTACCAGATACAATAGAAACACTGCTCGGGGTGCTGCCCGTTCGGGGTCATGTGCTGGGCTGCTGTTGGTGGCCGCCGCAGCCGCAGCCGCAGCCGCAGCCGCCGCCCCCGCCGCCGACCAAGGAGGCCTCCGGCTGCACGCGCCGCCGGCGCGGCTGCCCTCGTCGCCCTCTCCGCCGTCGCGCTGGCTGACACCTGCCTGGTGCCCCTCCCCCCTGCACCCCTCCTCCCTCCGTCACCTCACAGGAAAATCAAGGAACAGGTGTTTGGCGCGACTTCGTTCTGGGTGACCGAGACGCGGCCGCTGGCGATGCAGACGCTGGAGCTGGGGGTGGTGGTGCGCGGCAACCTGCGGGGCAAGCGCGAGGCGGTGTTCCGGGAGGTGTGCGACAAGGTGGCGGCCATGTTTGGTGAGGGGCTGCCTGGATGTGTGCTGCTGTGTGCTGCTGAATGTTGCTGTGTGTTGCTGGTGCTGCCGACGTGTGTTCCTGTCTGTTGCTGCTGCTTCCGACGTGTGTTGCTGTCTGTTGCTGTTTACTGCTGTGTGCTGCTGTGGCTGCCGACATGTGTTCCTGTCTGTTGCTGTTTGCTGCTGTGTGCTGCTGTGGCTGCTGACATGTGTTCCTGTCTGTTGCTGTTTGCTGCTCTTGCTGCTATGTGCTGCTGTGTGTTGCTGCCGGCTGCCGGGGCCTTTCTTTGCTGTCCCACAAGTGGAGCGTTCGCTGCTGGCTGCTGCCGGCTGCTGCCGTGCGTTTCTTGGCTGTCGGCTTGAGAGGGAGGGGAGATGTGGGCTCCGGCTGTGTGGCCGAGGCTGGGGTCAGGGGGAGGGCGAGAAGGGCTCGCGGCATGGTTGCCTGCCTGCCTGCCCAGTTTTAGTTCTGCTGCTGCCTGGCTGCTGCCCGGCGCGCCGCCCACATGCACGCGCGTGTGCCCTGATCCCGCCGGTACCGCAGGCGACAAGTACGTGGTGCGGCTGGTGGAGGACACAGACTCAATGATGGAGGAGCTGCAGATGGGTGGTCCCTCCGGTACCGCCGACGGCACCGCCCCCGAGCCGCGCGTGCAGTTTGAGATCCTGCCCGCCGCCGCCGCGCAGCCCGCGCCGGTGCTGGGCTGGCAGCGCGTGGCGGCAGGCGTGCTGCTGCTGCTCACGCTGGGATCCACGCTGCAGTTCGGCCTGGCCGCAAACATCGGCCTGCTGCCAAAGGTGCGGGGGAGGCGGCCGTGTGTGTGTGTGTAGGGGAAGGAGGGCAGCGGGGGGGTGTCTG